TGACGTAGACATGGTCGAACATCTCGTAGACGCTCGCGCTCGGCTGGTGGATCGTGCACACGATCGTTCGTCCACCGCGTGCCAGGCCGCGCAGCATCGAGATGCACTGGTGTGCGCTGATGCTGTCCAGACCCCTGCAACCGTAACAAACAAACCATTCACGCTTCAAATCTCCATCACTGTACGGTATCATTCGTGCATGGTCAATTTTGTATCGAAGCCAAAGACGCAAAAGATAAAAGACGCATTGTTGAAGCAGTGGCGTGTCGTGCTTTGAGATATATCGATTGATCTGCCATTTAAACCTGTGGAAAAGGATCGATAATCAGGGTGTTCGAAACGAACACCTTAATAATCGAATCTTTACTATGACTTCAAAGAGGGAAAATCGATAACGATCATTCACGCCCCTGCACCGAGTTGAAGTCAACAATTGCCTAACGGAATGGAGAATTTGCATCAGAAAATTTTATTAATTCGTATGAAAGCTCTTGATGAACTGAGATCACATTCTTTTTTATAATCTTTTTCTCTCGTGTGGGCAGTTGGAGACAGAGGGCTTTAAGGGGGAGAAAATTCACAATCTTGGGACGTGAAAGGACAAAATTTTCTACTTAAACATATCGATAGCCAACGTGCGAAACCACGTATCTCTATTGCAGCGTTTCAAAATTTCTGCTCCTATTTTATTTTTTTTGAAAAGAAACAAGCTGACTTTATAGTTGAGATTCATACAGAATATTCTGCTGGCAGAGAAGAATCAAGACAGTTTTCAAGAAATTACGTTCACTATAGTTTTCCAAAAGAACGTTCCGACGTTGCAAACAAAGATACCTGCGTGATTTCGCACTTTAGTCATTGAAATGTTTTACAGTATAGTGGATCATATTTTTTCATGACTCTTCAAATAATTGTTCATTTTTTATAGAAATCAAGTATGTTTACATGCTCAGTCCACTAAGGAGTTTTTACTTACGAATTAAATTCATCAGATTTCTAACACCCGCTACTTCTCCATTACCCGATGACTCTCAGCGAGATTTTACGAATCAGCCTTTTTTGGGATTCTGAACTTTGAGATTGATACCTGGCTCAAATATATGTGTCCTTGGTATCCATGTTCAGGTCTCTTTTCATGGGTCTATCGAAATGTCTACTAGTCTCTGGCAGGTATCATACTTTTTTCTTTGAAAAATCCTCTATTCACAAAAATTATAAAAAAAATTAGATAAAAATAGAAGAAATAGATTGGACTTACGTTGTTGGCTCGTCTAAGAACATGACAGGGGGATTGTCGATGAGCTCCAGAGCTATAGATAAACGTTTCTTTTGGCCACCGGAAAGTCTGCCGCATTTAGTGTGCCTACACATTTGTAATCCTATCGTTTCTAAAACGTCTTCTATCTGAAAAACGAACGCGACAAAAGGAAAATCAGGACGCTTATCATGACAGTCCAAGCGTATGATATACTGTTTAAGTATACGTATGGCGGTGTATGACAAGTTGAAAGGATACACGCAACAAACAGTAAATTTAACAGTAAATTTATAGTGGTAATTCGACTCTATGAATTTGCTTAAATAATTAAAAAAATGTCTTTGATGATCTCATACGGGATCCATGTGATTACTGGCTGTTACTATTACTAGCGGAAGAATAGGAATGGAAGATTTAACCATAGTCACCGCTGACTTTGGCACCAATTAAAAGAGATCTGGTTGACTTCTCTATCTTTCTGGTATTAATAACTTAAAAATTGACATACTATTAGCATGGCAGACTTGACCATATTTCTGGGTCAGCACCAAAACCAGCTATGAATATAGTTAAAACTATTATTCCTTTTTTCCGCGTAGTAAAGTTTTCAATTCATCTACAATCTTTATCCATTAATATTTAGCACTATCATACATGCATAAGTGTCGTTCAGCTGCCAAACTTCGCATCCACACGTTAGTATATGTATACTTTCAACTACATTGTAAAATCTCCTCTCGTTCTCTTTAGAAATCCGCGGATCCCAGAGGATTCCACTTCACATCGCTATAGCCTCCCTTCTATCACACTATCTACAGCACTATCAACGTTTAATTAATTTCATTTTTAACTGACAAAAGCGTTCGCAATAATTACTCACATATCTTAAAGTGTGTCATACTTTTCACGATTCCAGTATTTGTAAGAAGTTCATGGGCGTAGCCGTAGAGAGGCATATTCCTCCTGGGAGATGTGCCCATACTTCGATTTGGAGTTTACTGATACTTAAATTGCTATTGGTCTAATTGTAAGCGGAAGTTTATTTCCCACGCAGCTAATTTATTTTCATTTATTAAGCTAATTCTACACAAAACAAGCTGATAAGAGCTTACCACTAGGACTTTTGCTTTCTCGGAGAGAGAAGTTCCGAGTTTGAGATCGGCGGCCATTTTCATGGTTTCGTAGACGGTGAAAAGTGGACAGAGTTTATCATCCTGCATGATATAGCACGACTCTTTCCTGTTGAGCCGCTGACACTTGTCCGCGTTTCGACTGCTTGTGTAGATCGATCCGATCATTCCGTCTGTGCTGCAAACAGAAAAAAGCAACACCGTCAGTTTCATCAACACACACATTTAAAAAAAATAATTAAAAATAGAGGTTCAGAAATCTTTCGCTGCATTGGTAATTATATCAGTTTCAGCGATCTTAATTCGGAATTCCCTACAATAATGAACAAAAAGTCTTTTGACTTCGCAAAATTTTCTCCACCAATTTGAGTTCTTACTATTAATAAACTGTTGAACATTTTTAATTGAAAATTTCGCCGATTTTTCTACGAATTACCTATTGGCAAAATTCAACGAAATTTTGAACAGAATTGTACGGTTATATGCGCGTAAAAATTGAGCCATTCGAGTAAATTTCACGACATTGGAATGGTGTCACGTCCGTTCGTCGGAAAAACGACGGAATTCATTAGTTTTTCGTGGAACGCTGGGTGTTTGAATTTGATACCCATCTTTACCCCATCATTACGCATAGGTTACGCAGACGCAGATCTTTTACTTTCCTCAAACATAATTTCACGCTTTGCGAGACGTATCATTCCTTACGTAAAAAAATTGACGTTTTTTGCCAATACTTTCCTCAAAACTACACAAAAAAATTTTCAGGCTCTTCGCAACGATTTTCGCCTGACGTAATCACGCATTGTTAAGCACCCTTTCTCGTCACGCTCCACGCAGCCGTAATGCTGAATCGGACCTCCTTCAGTGGCGGGGCGTGAATGATCGATATTTCTCCACTAGAAGCCATTGTAAAGAATCGATTATTAATGTGTTCGTTGCGAACACCCTGTTTATCGATCCTTGTCCATAGGTTTAAAAGGCAGATCAATCGATACATCGCGAAGCGTACGCCACGCTTTGGCTTCCTTCCCTCCCTTAGAGCGTAACATGTGATCGACTCGTCTACGAGAAAAGAGACCTTAGTCCAAAGCGGCACTGGTTTCAGCACGAAAATTGTTTTTTGTCGAGTCGGGTCGAGAAATCGAAACTTGAGATTTTGGCATAGGACCTTTTGCCCTTTACAGTACCTATCTTAGAGAATGGCGTGCGAGGGATTTAGTTCATTTTTATGCTGGTATAGAACCAATGAAGTTGCATTAAAATCGGGAAATTTTGTGCCCTAAACAGAACATGGACACGTGGAATATAAAACAGCTTTATCTAGGAACTATGTTTGTTAGATTGTGAACGTCTCCGGCCTTCTTAGACATTTTTAGAAGATTTCCTGCTCCAGAATGTTTTTATAGCGCTATTACGCTCTGACATCAACATCTCAATTTCGAGTTTCCGTACATTGAGGCCCCTTTCCCTGTACATGGACGATCACATTTTAAGAATAAACTTTCTTTCAACCCCCCCCCCCCCAAAAAAAAAAATTAAATTTAAGAGCCCCGAGGTAAGTTAACAAAATTCTCCGGTCTTAGTGTGAGGACGGTGATGAGCAGAGACGTGCGCGGCTTATCAACATCAAAACACCCTCGGAACATTTTCGTGTGAAACAAGTGAAATATTATGTTTCAAACTACCGAGTGCTGACCAGTTAAAGAAATCATTTCGAGCGTGTGCCGACCACTTCATCGCATTTTTGCGCGACAGCGTTGTGTTTCTGCACTGCTAAACTGATGATTAACGCCTTATGAGCACTTAGATGATGCCAAATTACTATCCTGCCGTGCTAAGGTAAAACGCCGTATAAGCCTTCAGGCGTTGCCAAAGTTCCTTTGACAAGTCGCCGATTTATAGGTAAATTTTTTAATATTTTTCAGTCGATTTCTCGGATAATTTCGTTTGTAATTTAATCTAAATTGCCTGAAAATTTAAAAGAAAAAATATTCTTAACTTTCCTCAAAAATAAACATTTAATGGGATAAAAGTTGGCATAACTCTCAAATGTTCACACAGCGTTCTTTCTTCAGCAGTATTGACAAAACGTTTATTTTTCAAAAGAATTGTGAATATTCCACCGTGGAAATTTCAGATGTACTAGATTGAATTGCGAATAAAATTCCTCCGAGGAAAAAAGTTCGCAAGTATCTGAAGAATTTTTGTAGCATCCGAATATTTCGTCGCTCCTCCGGCGCACAGTGGTTCGAGTCAATATGAGGTCGGACAACATTTGGAAACTTTAAAAACTTATAACTCCGTTTATAAACATTTCGAGGTTCCGAAATGGAGATGTTGCATGTGTGAGGGATTTGCGATTTGACCATTGATTCTTATGTAAAAGTTTGCTAGAAACACGATGGTGCCACTGGTTTTCTCTAAAATCATCTCCCAAGCTCAAAAAAAGCTCTCAAAGTGAGGCCAAAATGGAGGGGATATCCCACCCTACCCCGAGAGTCCACCTCTACATCAAAACAAACTCCCCA